AGGATAAAGTATGTGACGGGACATCGACCTGGACTGGAACGCTGTCAAGGCTGCCTTTTCCATCATTGATACCATCCTCAGCATGCAACAGCTGGTAGGAAAGTCTGTACTAGTTGTGTTCCAAATCAAGCCCCTTGTACGCCCAGTCGTTTGAACCGATCATGACTACAGTCGTCAAATATACTTTTACAAGGGCAGTCGTTCAGGGCGTGGTGCGCTTTTCTGAAAGCGGTTCTTTGCATATTGTAGGGGCTCATGCAAGGACCTGAAAAGTGTGCTTCATTTTCGCTGCGCGCTTCCGAAAGGCAAAAAGGAGTGGAAAGAAATCCCTGGGAACTGCTTCGTTTTCGGCTTCTACGCGCTGTAAATCACTTACAACTTTGATAAGTTGCTGAGTGTTGGGGGGTTCTTATAAAGGGACTATGGAAATCGAAACGAAAAAAACGCCGCAAATGAGAATCTAACTTCGCGTCACGTGCTTAAGAGTGAACGGCTCCTCAGAGTGGTTTCTTCAACGATCGGAGCCGTGTGCAGCAGCATTGATCGCATTGCCCAGTGGACTGCGCGAAGGATTCTCAATCGGGAGAGGTTGATGGTTCGACTCCCCTCGGGCTACCACTTTTTGCTTTTTTCATGTTTGGATGTTCTGGCTTCCATATATGTCTGTGCGTGTATAACATGAATATTCCGATTGGGCACACTGCAAACAGTTTCACTCATGAGTCAGTGCTGTTCAATTAGTTCAATTTTCACATACCATTAGGCAAAATTGTCGCTGAACGTTGATCTTTATAGGCTGATCAGTATAGGTGATGGGCTGATCACGAATGGGGCATTTACTTCCTGTGCTGCCATTTATCACCAACTGAGCCACATCTTCCTTCCACGGAATTCGTTAAGTACACCCATGTAGGGAACGTTCAGCGCTATTCTGTCGCCAAATTGCGTGGACGCCAAGAATAGGTGTTATATTTGTGATCAGGGACCACTGATTACTACTAAAAGCGAATTTTCGGTCAAAAAATTGTTTTGACCTTCTTGGGTTTGTGTATTAGGTTGTGCTACATACAGTCCTCATCATTGCGGACCGGTGGGGCGTGGCAGTGCGGCTGCGTTTGGTGCGGTTTGGCAAAGTCGTTCTGCACCAGTTTTTGAAGCAGACAAGTGCATTACTGTATTGTATCCTTCGTATTATTCGTTTTCTACCACTTTTTGTCGCATACGCGTTTCAACAAAAAGGCTGAGAACGGCTTCAACAGTGTGCGCACTCCTACTGGCTGACACGCCCCACCGGTCCGCAATGATGAGGACTGTACAACTAACAACACGATGGAGTTCATCGAAAGAAGAACGAAGGGCTTTCGAACGCACTCAAAAATCTGAAAAGCCGGAGCAGTGCAATTGCTCTTCTTTCGGTAGGGGAGGAAAACAGCTTTGCTGAGCGATTAGTTGGTAGGAATCGGGGACGGTTCAGAATACTTGCTCACGTATCCAGCGGCTACCCAGGACACATGCCATGCATGAAAAAGCAAGCTTCTTCGCATTTAAGACAGTTCCCGCGAGAAAGTGTCATGGATAGTTGTTGTTGAATTATGAAACAGTAGCTGATAAGTAATTCCCCAAAAAAAAAGCAAAAGAGCCCTCAAGAACACCATAAACAAAATCGCTCCCTGACAGTCACACCGCCCTGCGGTCTCTGTGCAACCCCTGGCTCACAAATCGCTTTTTCGCATCTCCCAGTAGTAAATATCATCCAATGCAAAGAAAAGAATACGAAAACTAGAAATTTCGGCGGCTGCAGCACGCTCCTCGCTCGCTGTAGAGTCGCGAAAGTGGAACAGTTTCCTAGCTTGGCGGCTGGACTAATTGCACAAGGACGTCTACGAATTACCAGCGCGGGGACTGTCTTCAAACTGACGGTAGAATTGTCCAGGGTCCGTGGCGTCAAGTATTACGTCATCACCGTTACGGAGATGTGAGCCACTCACACTGCCAACCATCTGGTCATCTACAACCCGGAAAAGTCGTAAATTTTTTTAGCTCAAACTTGCCTCTAGGGGTAATCGATAGTCCTAACCACTATTCTGACATATATTTCTGGCGATCGTGCCATCTGGCGCGAGAATGGCGCCGAACAGTTGGGTGTGTGAACAAAAACCGGATTTGAAAGGAAAACGCGGTTCTGTCTGATGAACGAAGGATTGTTAAGTTTTTTATCGGGATGGATTTTTGTCAGGGATTTTCGGATGTTTTTGTCAGGAAAAAGGATCCAGACAAGCATGGAACCAGAAAATAATTGTAGAAAAGCAGAAGACCCCGTGGTAGTACAACCATCGACCTATTTTTTACGGTTTTTTATCCCAGGAGCGCGCAGCAAAAATGAACCTCAATTCTCTGGCCCTCGTGCCCCTACAATATGAAAATTTTCAAAAAGCGCATCACGCCCCGAACGACCTCCCTTGTAAGAATCCGTGACTACACTGGACCCGAAGAGATTTGACCATCGCCTCGAAAACAAGGGTACAGGGTCACGGCAACGGGGGCAGCTCCAAGGTCAGGGATCTCCTCCCCTAAGCATACAAAAGATGGCCATTCGTGTCACGTATTGCAGTGTGTATAGTGCAACATCTGGAAACGCTAAAGACGATCCCACGATGCAGCGCTGTACATTGCGGAGGCGCACACCTGGTGCAGACGAATGGTATAGGTTCAGAACTGAGCAGAAATGAGAACTTCACGCAAGCATCTAGACTAAGCCTCTGTAGGTAAGCTTCCCAACTATCATGCCGCTGACTGGCATGTTCTCTTGGATACAGTATTCGTTTAAATAATTATTGACATGCAAACGTACCAATCAGATGAGATATATGATCAATGCTCCTAGTGAAAACCTTTCACCATGTTAAAGGCTGAGCCCGCATTCAAATTTGATGAGTTATGTGGTTCAAATACTTATAACAAGGTAGCAAGTAACCCCTTAGTGAAGAAGAACCAGAAAGAAGTCATGGGAAAGGCCCTATGTAGACCTCTCGCTTAACTGAGGTTGTACGAGCTCAA